CCCCCCCCCCCCCCTTGATGCGCCTTAAACGTGCAAAACGCAAAGGCTGCTTTCCTTGTGTTACCGTAATGAGCGTGCGCTGGTGTACCAGGTAAGGTGGCAGTGCGTGGCCACGGAAGTCGCGCCGTCGGGTCACGACCGTGGCTTTGGGGTTGGTGATGTTTGGGGCAGCGCAAAGTGGTGACAGCCCGGCCCGTGCCGTCTGTCAACCCGCCACCGTAGTCCAGAAGGAGCCCCTGTAATGAATGCGCGTGGCTGTGTTCCAGTAAAACCTTATTTATGGGCACCGAAATTTGAATTTTATATATTTTTCACATGACGTGAAATCTCATTCTTCTTTTGTTTTTTTCAACCACTTATATACGTGAACACCTGTCTTTCACTTTTTTTTTTATAGTATACTTATTTTCGAGAGAGGGAGAGAGGGTGTGTGCATATGAGCATGTGTGAGTGAGGGAGAGACAGAATCCGAAGCAGCCTCCATGCTGCCAGTGCAGAGCCCGATGCCAGGGCGTGACCCTGTGAACCGTGAGATCGGGACCTGAGCCGAAAGCAAGAGTTGGACGCTTCACCGGCCGAGCCACCCAGGCGCCCTGTGAAAACCTTCCTTTAAAGAGAAAAGATGGGCCACAGACTCGGAGAAAAGACGTGCAAAACACACGTCCGATAAGGGACCAGTACCCAAAATAGGCAAAGAGCTCTTAAAACTCACCAAGAAGGAGACAAACAGACCAACTGAAACATGGGCAAAAGACGTGAACAGACACGTCACAGGAGGAGACACGGGTGGCTGAGCACGAGGAAAGAGGCACCACGCGGTAGGTCACCAGGGAGGCGCCTGTGAAGGCAGCGGGACACCGTGCGCACCTGCAGAAAATCCAGCAGGTGGACGGCGCTAAACGCTGGCGAGGAGGCCGAGCAACGGGCTGTCAGTCCATCCTGGTGGGAGCAGGGAGGGCAGCTCGGCAGTCTTAGGAAACCGAGCGCGCGCGTAAATCCAGCGGTCTCGCTGCGGGGCGTTTGCCCAGATGTGTTGAGAATTTATGTCCACACGAAACCCTGCATCCGAACGTTCGTAGGACTTTACTCATGATCGTCGAAACTTGGAAGCAACCAAGGTGTCCTTCGATAGATGAACGGACGGAGAGGCCGTGGTCCATCCACACGATGGAATGTTACCCAGAGAAAGAGAAACGAGCTGTCAGGCCACAGAGAGATGTGGAGGAACCTCAGCGATCGCTAAATGAGAGGCGCCCATCTGAAATCCAAGCCAAGCTAGTCACTGTCTGATCTCACCCACGTGATGTTCTGGAGCGGGTGTGGTTACAGGGATCGATGTGGTCGGCGTCTCCGCGAGGGGGAGGGGTGAACAGGAGGTGCATGGGGGGGGGGCGGTTTAGGGCAGTGAAGTTATCCCGTGTGACCTGTGTCATCACACATGTGTCCAGATCCACAGGCTGTGCACAGTGAGCCCTAACGTCACCGTCGACTAGTTACTAACGTGTCAGCACGGTTCACCGATTGTGGCAAACGCACGACACTGATGCCAGACGCTGATGATGGAGAAATCCGCCCTCCAGGGAGAGGGGGTACATGGGAACTCTGGACATGCTGCTTGTTGGCTGAAACCCTAAAACTGCTCTTGAAAAGAGTCTGCTACTTAAAAAGACATTTTTTTTTTTTAAATTTTGTGTACAAACAAAAACAGGCATCAGACTGGGTTTGGCCATACTGCTGAGTCCTGACCTAACCCATGGTGACTAATTTTGTTTTCAGGAATCTGTGTGTATTTTGGGTATTTTAAGCATTTGTGGAATTTAAGAGAATGTAGCCTGTTTTTAAAGGATTATAACTTGAGCCGAACTCGGATGCTTAACCGACTGAGCCACCCAGGTGCCCCAAGAGGTCTTATGTTTTAAAAACATGTACTCAACTTTTTAAGACTAATGTGATATAATATCTGGGATTTGCTTTAAAATGGTTGAGTGGATGAGCGGGGCTGGGATGGAAAAGAGCTGACCATATAGTGATTGCTGCTTAAATTGATGAGGGGCCCACCGGGGTCACTAAAATCTCTACTTCTGTGTTCTTCTGGAAATTTCCATGATACAAAGTTTAAAAACAAAAAAGCTTAAGGAAGAAATACAATTTCAAACTAGTTAAGTATTCATCTAAAACCCCAAGTCACTTCTAAGTGATCTTTTCTGCGCACAAGCCCCCATCAAAGAGACGCCGAGGCAGCTCGTCCACTCTCTCCGGGCTTCTAGGGTGGACCCCGGGCCGACAGGCAGACCGACAGGGAAACGGGCAGCTTTCTGCTCCCGGCACAGGGCACCCGGCCGAGGTGGGCGGGCAGCCTGCAGCCCACGCTCAGGGCATTCTCCAGGGAACCCACGTGCCCGGGGAAGGACGTGAGGCGACAATGGCCTCGTTCATCCCACCGGCGAGGTTCTGAGGGTCGGTGAGCCTCCTCACCGGCCAGCTGTGCCCTCGGCAGGGAGGAGAGGTCAGGCGCGTCCCGGGGCCCTGCGGGGGCGCAAGTCTGAGGTCCCGCCTTGCTCACCTACGTGATCACAGCAGACGTGAGAGTGTGTGCGGCCGAGTGCTGAACGGCACAGCCCGCCCTCACTGTCTCCGATCCACTTGCAAGGTCATGGAAGAGATTGCTTGCCAGGAGAAAAATGTCACGGTTCTCGAAAAGGCCATCGCTGACCAGGAAGGACCCGCCAAGGTGGCTCACACGCGCCTGGAGACCAGAACGCACCGGCCTAACGTGGAGCTGTGTCGCGATGCCGCGCAGTGTCGGCTGGTCAGGGAGGTCCAAGAGATCGCCCACGGCGTCGCCAGGTAGGGGATGGCCGGCACTCGGGGTGCACAGGACTGTGCACGTGGACCGTGAACAGGGCTGGGCAGAGCCACGTGGGCATGAGTGCATTTGCACCGGTAAAGTTCGAGGGCTCCCTTTCTAGAGGGCGGCCACTTGCTGTCACGCAGAAAATGGGTCCCAAGGTTTAAATTTTTCTGGAGCCCAAATCCAGACGTTTAGGTAAAAATCCACAGTTGTTTTTTTAATTTTTTAAAGATATTTTATTTATTTTTGATAGAGACGGAGCACAAGTGGGGGAGGGGCAGAGAGAGAGGGAGACACAGAATCCCAAGCAGGCTCCAGGCTCTGAGCTGTCGACACAGAGCCCGACGCGGGGCTCGAACCCACGAACTGCGAGATCATGACCTGAGCCGAAGTCGGACGTTCAACCGACTGAGCTACCCAGGGGCCCCCCAAAATCCACAGTTTTAAGCATTGGCAGTTGGTGGGGGTTTCTGCCTTGGGAATCTGGCCCCCTTTGAAGTCTCTGTGGGGAGGAAACTATCAATCTGGCTTCTGTCCCGAACACATGAACACATCCCCCCCCCCCCCCCCCCCCCCCCCCCCGCACCCGGCCCCGGGAAAAGCGCCCCAGGTTCTCCCTCTTCTCCTAGACTCAAGGAGACCTTGGCCCGGGCTCAGGCGGAGCTGAAGGGCCTGAACTGCAGGCAGCTGGCCCTGCAGGAGGAGGTCCAGGTGAAGGAAAACACCATCTACATTGACGAGGTGCTGTGCACCCACATGAGGAAGTCCATCCCCCCGAGGGACGGGGGCGACCAGGGCGAGTGGGCGGGGGGCCCCCGCCCCGACGCCGTGTGCTGATTGTGCCCACGGTTCAGATGCTGATTAAAGCACTTCACGATCGATCGGTGGCACAGAGCTCTCGCTTCAGGGAGGCGGGACTGCGGTCAGAGACACAAGCTCTGGGCGGGGCCTCGGGGCCGAGGTTTGGGGGGCGGCTCCGGGCCGCTGGTTGGGCAGTGGTGGCTCCCCAGTTGCACCCCGTGTGCCCGGGTCCAATCGTCCATCACGGGACTCGGGGCCTGGGGCGGAGGGGTCCCAGACGTTTAGTTCTGATTCCGCCCAGTGTGGTCCTGGATCCCCTACGCAGACTCGGGAGAGGGACGGACCTCTCTGGTGCCACCATCCCCGCTCCCTATGAAACCACGCCGGGGCTGCTGACTCAGACCCACTATTCAAGCCTCCCAGAGAGCAGATGAGAGCAGAGGCCCTGGATCTACCCGCACCTGCAGGCGTCTCTCTGAGCCCCTTTCTGCTGGGAGACCCAAGAGGACGGAGGGGCCTCAGCTCCTAGAAAGTCGGCTGAGTACTGGGGCTTGAGGGGCCCGCCTGCTGCCGCGTGGGGTCGTGCGGTTCGGGGGCAGGGGAGGGGTGGGGAGGACGCCTCTGGTTCACCGGCCGGAGGGGTCATTAGTGGGCGCGTCTGTTGCAGAGCCGGCTGTCAGGCAGGGCAGGCT